GCACCTGGGGTCTTGCCTGGTGTGATAGACCCCAGCCTCTATGGATCTTGTACTCAGAGCTTGTTCTTGTGCTGCCATGATTTTTGTTGATGTTTTAAAAATATTTTAATAAGTGTTAATGATAAAAATGCATCACACTAAAGTAGAGAGTTGTATCTTTTGCAACCTGAAAACTGCAATGTAATTTGTAAAGCGTCACAGCAACAAAGCATATTTTTCAAAGTTACCCATCTGGAAAAAACGTAATTATAAGGTGTTATATACAAAAAGAGGCCTTTAACGGAGGCAAAATCTTGTCTTGTTATAGCTCTACTTTAAATGTGAAATCTAAGTGTTCTCTGCCACCAATAGCTGTTAACTTTAATGGCTTCAATCATCACAGCTGACTTGTTTTAGACACATTAATCTGCAGCTCAATCTTGAACTCAAACGGTTTTCCGTTGCCCTCAAACACACCTTGAATGTAAGTGGGAACACCCGATGCAATGAAAACTGATGTTTTATAGAAGCAGCTGCTTCACTCATTTAGGTGGGAAACGAGGATGGGAACTGAAAAAAAATAACTATCTGAAAACACACATTCTTTGTTTGTGTTGTATTTTTCTGTTTTTCTAAAATATGCCATATCCATCTTAAAATGGAAAAATCTCTTTCCATGCTTTTTATTATTGTCTCTGCTGATTCCACACCTATAACTACAGCACTGAACAGTTGCATTTTCAGACAGTGATAAGGTGACACAGCAATGATTTCCTCTCTAACTATTTGCCCACAGCTGTCAGAATGATTTGCTACACCATATGCTATGATTTTCTCAATCACACAAACAGTTTTTATTTCTGCTTAAAGGATATTTCACACTTCCTATAGAGATAAACATGTGATTTGTTTCAGATCCTTTGTGTTGGCAAAGCTGAGCTGACAGCTAAAGTAATTCACACTGTTGATCAGCAGATGTTAATGTCTACACTGTCATAATTGTAAACACAGGCTCCCACTGGAATCTCATCAAATAGGATTGGTTGGACCACAGAAGTTACATTTCTCATCGGCTGATGGTAATGGCTTTCAGTATATATATATATAAAAAAATTGGACTGTTTGTTAATTCATATCTACAGACTACTTCACATTATGTCTCATAAATTGGTCTGGTTGGGGTTCATTTCCTGTAAACTGTGTGTTGAAATCAATCACTGACAGGAAGCTGTTACCTAGCAACACATTCACAATAAAGGAAGAGGATAATCCTCAGTGTTCACACTGTATTCGTGCCCTTTTTAGTGTTTTTGTGTTGTTTGCTTTGAACTGGAGGTATTAAGTCACTAACGTCCCACATAAATGTTCAATTTAATTTCATTTGAGGTGACAAGTAAAAACAAAAGCGTGGAAAAAATACATGAGAAATGAAAGAAGATCAATACCACTCTCACTTTGCCAAATACGAAGGTACAACAAGCAGCTGCTAGCTTAGCTTAGCAAAACAACCGGAATCAGGAGGAAACAGCTTGCCTGCCTCTGACTTATGGTAATAAAATCAGCCTACATGGTCTTCCAGAGTTATATTTCATGTTCTTAATCCATGAAAAGCTAAAATGTTGGTTTAAAAGCTGGGTTACGTGGAAGAATAAATAAAGTTACTTCAGGAACAGAACAGCTGCAGACTGTAGCTCTTTAAACGTCATTCAAGAATCAAAATATGAAAGCGAAAAGGGACATTTCTTCTAAATTCAAGCTATAACTTTAAATCGTAGAAAAACATATTTTTCTAGGTATGAAAGTTTAGTATAAATCTAATATATATAGTAACTGTTGTAATATTCAGCTTTTAGGGCTGCAGTCTAGTTCAAGGTCCTTGATTGTTAGTTGGTGAAGTTGTAAGGTGGAGCACGGGACACAGTCAAAACCTGAGTATGTGAGTATACTTCACTAAACTGAGCACACTAATAAAAGAAAGAAAAGAACTTTAGCCAGCGGCAAAGTTGACAGAGTTGATAGTTTATTGAGCTCTTGCCAGAAGGAGTCCTTCACGAGCGGTACATAGCTGTACTAGACCCTGACTTAAGGTTAGTTATCTGAATTTAGAATTCAGTGCTTCGAGATACCGACAGAACCATAAGCTGACACACAGGAACTTGCTTGACATTGCACTCAAGGGATCGATAACTCAAGAGAACATGAACTCAATGTGGATGCTTCCTTCTTTGTGGCTGACCTGCATTAATCTGACCTGGGGGAGAGTTTTGGCACTCAGAATCTAGGCTGTGGGTGGTCAGTATTCTCACAGTGTATGCTACTGTGCGTCCTGTAATTGCGTGTGCTATGTGTATGTAGTGTAGGGATGTTACCCTGGCAGCAGAAGACAAACAGAGCATCATATCTCCTGACTGCATAAAGGGTCCCTAATGAGCCCGTGTTCGTGCTGTATGAGTGAAAAGAGCAGCACACGAGGTGTGAAGGGAAGTTGTAAAAAAGTGTAATTGCTATAATGTGGTAGAAGATTTTTCAGTGTTCTTACTTGTGTTACATTATTCGTATGATATGACGCACATCAAAACAAGATTGTGACGTGAAAACAATTATTTACTTTGAAACTTCTTTAAACTTGTGGAAATACACTTCCCCCGTCATTAACCTTACAAGATTTGATGAAGATTGTGTTTGCTTCATAATTATCTTCTATTCTTGATTTATTGTTTCTTTCCTCTACAAAATGCCATTTGAGATTGTTTACCACCCAATATTTATCCGGTTCCCATCTTACTAATCTCTTCATCTTACATTCCTTATCTTTATTTTGGAACAAATTAATTCTGATAAGAAATCACTTGTCTCAGTAGTGCACCAGCTTGATTGGTTTGGCTGGTCAAGATGAATTTCTGGAATCTTGAAAAACTGTGTCCTCGAGTTACAAACTTTTCAGTCTTTATCCATGTCAGCTAAGAGGTTGCTCCATTCTTGAAAGGTTGGCCATTAAAAATGTAACTTGTAGTGTGGAGCCTGGGTTCCTGTGTTTAATGGTCTTATGAGCAGTGGGTGGGTTTTTCCTGTCTTATGAGTTTGCACCAGCGACGTTCCATCAGGGCAAGCAAGGCAACCAGTGCTTGCCCAGTGAAATCTAAAAACAGTCAACAGTTAAAATAACCATGAAAGTAAGTAAAGTCTCTCTTTATTTTAATCTCATACAACAGTGTCATGAAGCTTCTCACCTGTTTGCATCCATCATTTAAATTATTACCATCTTGTGCTCTCAGGTGACCCTGGAAGCAGGCTCGACCCTGGTTGACTTTGTTCACTTTGCAGTCGTTAATGCCTTTCATGTCTGGTTTAAAAAAACAGGCAAATTGAACAGCTGAAAGCTGCACCTACACTTTTAGTTTAACATTACTGAGAAATCTCTTGGTTGACTTAATACACTTTTTAACATACATCTTTAATGATTTTTATGTCATTGTTTATATTTACTGTTAATGTCACATTACACTCAGGCATTTTAATTCGCTGTGATTTTTTTGGGTGGTTGGTTATATATTTATTTATTTATTTTTAAATCGATGTGTGTCCCTGTTTTTCTGATATGATTAACAGCCTTTTAGAGCTACATGGTCCACACAAGACAGCTGCACTACAAACATGATTTTATAGAAGACAATGCGTCACTGGGGATTGAACATTGAGTATAAAGTTATAAGTACAAGCATGAGTGGTCGATCTGCAGTAGTAATATCAATCCATATAGTACTGATGGGAAGTATTTTTCTGCAGATTAAGTACTTTTACTTTTAATAATTAAATTTACCAATAATGCAGTTTTTTGGGGTAAGCATTTTGATAACTATGGAATAGATTTCAGAATTTAGCCAGGAAGGACTGCAAGTGAAGATGTCCAGGAGGAATGTAGCAAGAGGCACGAGACTCATAAAAGAATACAAGATAAGCAGCACAAAGGGGGCGCACAGCATCGCTGCTTGGCTTTCTGTAAAAGTCACTGCATATAACTTGTTTGCGCTAATTATGCTCTCTTTTATCTTTTTCATATATACATCATGAACTGCATGAGGCATTAATACCAAAGCAATCTCACAATGTCCATCCATCCATCCATTATCTTCCACTTAGCCAGTTTAAGATCACAGGGGGGCTGGAGCCTATCCCAACTACCATAGAGTGAGAGGCATTAACACAGAGACACAGACAACCATTTGTGTGCATGTACACATCCTATGGGTACTTTAAAAACACCAGTTAACCTAACCTGATTAACTGCATGTCTTTTGGGTTGTTGAAGACACAGGGAGAACATGCAAACTCAAGTCTTGCTTTGAGGAAACAGTGTTAATCACTATACTGTCCCACTGTTTGGCAAGGTATGTCAGTAAAAAAAAATATCCAGCATTTTAGGGAGAAAACAACAGGTTCTATCATAATCAGCACACTTATCCACTTAAGACTAGTTCACCCTGTATATTTAACACAAACATGTAGTGAGGTGTGAAAGTGTTGGCTAGCAGTAATGCATGTTATATAAGATGGTAAGCATTCTTCTGCTTTTTCTTCTTTTTCTCCCCCTAGGAGGCCTCGCAGCAGATCATTTTCCTACATCTCATCCTATCCCTACCATCCTTTTCTTACATCCACAAACCTTTACTGTGTTTTTCTCTTATCTGAATCTTCAACAGGATGCAAGAACAAAACAAAAAAACAAACCACAAACTACAAGCAAGGGGAAGCTGCTGCTAACTGACAGAGGAGCTGAAAAAGCAGGCTTTATATGCTTAGCCTCTCACCCCTCTCAGGTGCAGCCAGTTCTCTGATGACCCGCATGACTGTTGCTGAAAGCAAATGGGGAGGAGCAAAAATCAAGTGTTATGCATATTCTCTGCTTGTCAGGTGTCTGTACTTTCCTTGTTTGAATCTTCTTAGTTAATAGAACACAGCAAATGCTCATTAAATAAATCTCAATATCTTTTTGAAGATGAAAATAGCTCTGAAAAGCCACAGATATTTGTATTTATTTAGTTTTATTTCTTCTTTAATAACTCCCAAGAAAGTCCACTGTGAACATTAAACTATATTCTTTATAGACACAGACATACCATACTATGATTTTGTTGACAGCTAAAGTGATCAGACATATAGTATTGCACAAAGGTCTAACATAACATAGTATACAACACATGGATGTCACTCATGAAAAATGGGAGTTTTTCAGTTTATAGAACCACTAAAGTCCGGATACAATTCAGACCGTGAAGCTTTTGCAAGCTGTTGCCACCAAGTACAAAGTGATATTTACAGCTCAAACATGTTGCCCTGTTGCTTATGAAGTATTCAAGTAACAGTAAAGTTACAAAGCTCTTATCAAGAATACAGTGATTTTAAATGAGTACAGTGGTGTAGGGAATAAAGAAGAAACAATCAAACCCTTACAGCAGAAAAGGAAATGCACAGAACTATGACTTAATGAAAACAATACTTTATTTGGGTTATGTATAACTTTTTATTTACACACATGAATCCTTGTTAAAGTTTTCTACTTCTGTATAAATGGTTCTTTACCAGGGACTAGTAAAGCGCTATACAAATACAGGCCATTTACCATTTACCATTAACATAGTCAGAGAGGAGAATGGAGCGTTTTGCAAATGCAAAATACACAAACTGTTACAGTAAGAATGCTTTTACGACAACCAGCATTCATGCGTGAGAGCTGTTACCATCGGGCTCACAGAATATACTGCACTGAATAAGGCATACAAACTGTTGCTGAAGTTACAAAAAGCTGCTGTCTCAGAGTACTAAGTTAAAGGCAACTAGACTTTGGGTTGCGTTAAGTACTTTGACTTAGTACTTCAAGATGTCATAAGACCTGAATGTCTGAGGATTTTCATAGACACAAAAAAGCCAGTATTAGCTAAAAAAAAGCCAACATTAACTGTACAGGTGCATTATGGTTCACCACATTTCTCATTGTCTTGAACGAGGTCAAGTGCAAAAGTTTTAAAGTAAAAGTACAAAGACCAACTGAAAGCGAAATGCAGGCAGTGAAAAACAGGAATAAATTAGCAGATCATGATGAATAAATGGCAAAGAAAGAATGGAAACAAAATGAACAATTAACGAACACAGTCAAAAATGAATAAATTAGAGGGCCTGAATAAATGTAATACTGAACGGAGAAAACCATTATAAATATGAAGACTTCATTTTGGAAAAGCTTTCATTTCGGAGTGAAAAGGGCATGAGAAATTACTTTAAGTTCATTGTTAAGTGTTTCAGAGTTTCAAGTGCCATTATTGAATCCAAAATGTTTTCAGGATGCTTCATAATGCACTAAATTTGTTCATTTTGTGCTGTCATTTATTTTATAGGCAGTGTGACATTTTCAATTAGATAATATCTTACTCAATTAACTCTGAAAAAACAGGTAAACAGCTTCATGTCAGTAAATAAATGCAAGAAAAAAGGCAAAGCTTATTAGGAGAATTTAATAATTTAATAAATAAATAACATTTATGTTGACATTCAGGCACAGCCTTTAAATTTCCATATTTTAATCTTTTATGCGTACAGTACGCTCCCCGCCTCTAAGAGTCATCCTCAGTTTTAATGATGTGGAAAAGTGTAACGTTAAACAGGACCTGGTGGCCATTGTTCCAGCCGTAGAGAGCACGGTCCCTGGCATTGTAGTCCAACATAGACATGTGGAAATACTGGTTATGAAAGGGTATGTCTGTATACTCATAAGTGGAGGTTTTAGTGGAGTAGGCATAGTACACCTTGGCTCCGGTCAGGTGGGAATTAGTGATGTATAGAGTCCCACAGATCATAAAAGACTCTCCGGCATTCCTCTTTGAATATTCTGTGTTCCATGTGTTGATGATCTGGAGCGTGTCTGGATTCAGCTGGCTGATGACAATGTTGCCAGCATTTTGGTTGGTTGCATACACGGCCCACAGTCCCAGCTCGTCTGCCATCAGGTCAATGTCTGAGAAGCCTCCCCAGGTGTAGGGGTACACATTGTGGAAGCCTGCCGACTCCAAAGCCCTCTGCGTGACCACGCGACCTGTCTCAAAGCTGTACCTCACGATGATGTTGCTCTGCATTTTGTTGTAGTACAAAGAGCCATTGTATACTACGTGGTTTGTTCCAGCCCATTTGAAAGGCAGATTGTAGGTTCTGGATTCAACTCCTGCGACAAAATCAGTGATGGACTTAAACTCTTTTACTATCTTGTTGTTGGTGTAGCTGTCCATGTACCACACCTGGGGGGGAAAAAACATAGAGATGATAATGAATTGTAATTGGTCAGTGGTTTGTATTTAAAATTGTGATAGAAAATTTTTTTTTAGCAAAATAAAGAAATCACAGAACACATGAACTCTATGAAAGGAAAGATAGAAAGCAGCCATGGCCAGTAATTTTTTATTAGCCAGATGGTCGATGATACACTAATAAGGCCAAACCAGAACCAAGGAAGAGTGACTGCAAGCACCCAATGAAAATTTTGTAATCTAGTCACATGAGCAGTGCTTTGTTGAATAGGCCAGTCTGTATCTGTAGCAGTTCAAAGTGCTTCATGCTGTTGTCTTAATAGATATGCTAAATAAGAAAATGTATGACATGACAAGCGTCAGAAAAAGGCAAAGAAGAAGGCAGCTAGCTAGAAAAGTGATGAAGACTTTTGAGTCAATATATATAGCTTGTCCTTGCTGACTTCTTAAAAATATTTTTACTTACATACAAATTTTCTTTATTTTTTTGAGCCATATCGCCCTACACCTGTTTAGGATATTTGTAAGAGCCTTGCAGCACTTCCACTTTTTAATCTTTTTTCAGTATGAAAAGTGTATTTCTAAACGAAATTTTTTTGCTTCACTTTTTTTTAGCTGGTTTGCGATGTTATGGATGAATGAAATGACATTTGATTTTATTTTATTTTTAGTGCATTTACACTACGGGAAACTGTCCACCTCTGCAGTTTTTTGTATGTTCAAAACTGACTTTGCTAAGTTTTTACACTTCAACACATTTGACAAGGACGCACAAAATGCATTTTGGGACAAAAGCTGATTGTTAAGTATGGGAATTCCAAAAGTCTGTCCTCCCCTTTTCTCAGTAACTCTAATGTTTTAGTGTCAGGGGTAAAACACTGACATGTAGTTTTTTGTGTACTTTTGTTTTGAATATTTCTGTCTTTTAATGTGTAAGATTAGCAATTAATGTGTCTAGGCATGACAGTCTCTGCAGTCTTGAACAGCAGTAGTGAACAAAGTGCAACATTTTCCACTTCTGCTGGATGAAAAGCAACCATATAAACAGCTTCAGCTACTGTATATAAAGCAGGAGCACAAGCAACATTAAGTTTAATGTCTGAACTCAGCAGTCAAGTGTGCAGAAAGCTTTTAGTAGGTGCGATGCTGTATTTCAACATCTCTCCCCTTTGAACAAAAGGAGGGAAGCCGCCACATATAAATTATTAAACTGCTCAGTGTTGTTTCAAAGACTTACAACCCAAAGAGATGCATATAAACTCACCCTGTTGTTTTTGGGAGACGCCTGCGGGTCGGTCATCCAAGCTCCGAATCTGGTGCCCGAAGTTTTCACCGTCAGTGGTCCAGTAATCTTCATAAGCTTGCCACATGCTGAAAACACACCATACAGCTGTGGTCACATATGTTATATGACTGGAATTTATCTCCAAGTGCTGGACTGCTAAGTGGGTTCTGGACAGCTTGTGTGCAGCATCTGGACACAGCTGTACTTTTGTCAGCTATTAAAGATATAAAGTAGACTGAATAAGAAGAAATGTGCCACAGAACAACAACTTATAATGTGTCTAAGCTGGGAGAACACTTACCCATATGTTTTAATGCTCAGAGTACTTGGATTACACTTAAATGATCTTGCCAGGCTTTAATGGTGCCAAATGACAGTAGGCTATCACTTGCACACAAGCTTTGAAGTTTCCTGTTAAGTATTGAAGTGCTATTTTACCCAATCAATCAAAGCTCACGCACAATGAATGCTTAAGCAATCATCTCCGGCTCCGACAGATTTCCAGCCACGTCCTATTAGCATTCCCCTGTTAGCTATTTATGTTGACACTTTGACAGGAGCCATCACTGTTGATAACCTGGCAGTTGGCAAATTGGAGCTTTAGTTATTCAAACCTTTATCAAAGGCAAAGCTGCTCTGGGGGCAGAACTGATCTTATTAGATGAATCAAACCTCAATGGGTGGAGCAATGTAACCACAAATTTTCTATAAGTGCGAATGGCAAACAAGACACAAGAAGGAATTTATAAGTTAAAATGATCAATCATCACTTTAAGTGAGTCTGAGTTGAATTTTTTCACTTAAAATCAGAGTACAAAGCTTCACATTCATCTTTAGCTTGGGAGAATGTTCTTTCACTTTGGGGTTTGTTAGCCTCAAGTAGCAGTTCTTGTCTGTCCACTGCTTTGGATCTAAAATGCCAGCCTCCTAGTAGCTGCAAGAAATGTGCCCATGATCCCTTTGCCACTGTATAATCCGATCTCACTGCGCACGAATGCCTTTTTTTTATCCCCATCGCTGGACTTACTGAGTTTACTCATACAGTTCCGAAGCCTATTTTCCAGGTTTAGGACCCTTTGTTGCAACTCCTCATAGTCATAGGCCCCCATCTCCTCCTGAATGCCCATCAACACACCAGACAGGTTTCTGATCTCCTCTTTGAACTGTGAGATGAGCTTGGCATCTGTCTTGTACTGCTCCAGGACTGGAATCAGCGGCTGCAAGGATTCCATCTTTCCCTTTAGCTCCTGCAACAGATAAGTAACAGAACAGGTATTTGGACTTTAGAAATACTAGTCTCAACAAATCTCTCAGTTTTTCAGCACATAAGTACAGCAATACCTGCATCTTCTTATTGTTTTGTATCAATACTTACTGTTTTGTTTTACACAAAATGCAGATTCACTTCTTATTGTTGAGTCCAGGAAAAACAGCATAATAATAATTAAACAAAAATCACAACAATGAGGAATACAAATCTAATATTTACAAGAATGTTTGCCCATATCAAACTTTCTGTTGTGAGGGAACTTAAACAAATATAGAAGCAGGGACACGCTCTAGCCGGAACCAAACAAATTCCACTAATGTATCTTGCTACTACTAATAATTTAATGGAAATCCTGTCACTGTGAAGACAGATTTAGTACTCTTTACAATCAGTTTCTCCAGAATCTTTATCTTTATGGAAACAAAATCCTAGTATGGTATGTATCCTGGTATGTATTAACAACAGGTGGGTGCAAAGTTTTGAATTATAGTGGTGGCAAGGAAGACATTAACTCACCACAGTTCTGCTCATTCCAACTGTTTTTCTCAGTCAAGGCTCCAAAAAGAGCGGTTTTACATGCCAAACAAATGGATAAATGTTTATTTATAATGCTGCCGTTAGGATATTTGTTATCTTTCTGTATCCATCCTGGCAGCCGCCTTCAGATTTTATCTTGCTTTTATGATAGGGTTGCCCTTGGCTGGTCAGTGGTGGACCTGTATTGATCTTATCAGGAATGAAAGTTGATTAATTCAGATGCAACTCAGGTATCCTTGGAAGAGGTCCCTTCCCAGGCTTCCCTGTGATGTTTCTCACAAAGTTAAACATCAAACAAAAATATACCTGAAAGTTTTTGTTGACGAGCGTCTTCCTATCCGCTTCGATCTGCCGGAACTTTGACCGCAGTCCTTTGATCTGGCTCTCCATTCTCATGATATACTGAAAGTCCCTCTGCGTCCGCAGGTTCAGCACCTCGATTGACTGTGACATGTTCTGCACCTTTTGAAAAGAATGAAACAGCGCTGCATTGATTTTTCCGTCCACCACAAGATTAAAATGTCCCCCATGTTCAGCCTTTCGGTAGGATGCCATGCTCTAACTTCCCAAAGAACAAATCAACATTTTGACCTCCAAAGTGATTGTCTTTTAACAATTCAGCTGAGTAGAGCTTCAGATGATTTGTTTTCAGAGGCACAGTACTATCACATAGCAGTTTTTCCTCAGTTTTTAAATTTAGGTTCCATTTTGACAGATTTAATTCAAGTGTTTTTCAAATGTCATAGACAAACTACTGAATCTGATGAATTTTAATGACATATTAGGAGCAAACACTTAATGTAGAAACCTTACAGTGTGTCTTTGTGGTTGAACAAAAGCTACATTTATGGGGAATGTGAAGGAGGAAGAGATAGCTTCCCTTCTTTCTTCTCTTTAACTCAACTTATAATGAACCAACAGTACTGGTGCACAACCCCAGTAAAGCGGCGCGGGGCTTGTGTGTTGTGTTCTGCATACTTGTCTGGCTCTGGTAGAGGAATCCTGAAATGGCCTCACTGATGGCCTGAGGCAGCTTAGTACATTAGTGTCAGAGGGCCCAGTGAATGACAGAGAACACCCTTTGGCATACAACATTAAAATGTAGGCTACAGCCATGTTTTCTCATGTGACATAGTCATTGAGGAAAGTGATTCTAGGGCTGCGCTATTTTTTCGCTTGTAGATAATGCATTTAAATCGTGACAGGCATGGGGCAAAAATAACATTTGGAATTACATTCGAGATTTCCACTTCAATTCACAATGATGGCTGTCGTGTTCCAAAAATCATTTCAGGTAATCAAGACCAAATCCACACTCTTACAAAAAATGTCTATGGTAGCAGATGTAAAGGAAAAAATAAGTGATAACAATTTAATTTTACTTTTTTTTTTTACAGATAACAATCCTGGTCAAATACTTAACCCCTTAGCAGTCCTATTAGTCCCCTAAACCATCCAATGTCCCGTGGGCGGTACGTCCGACTGCTAACAGTTTAAAGCCTTCTAAAATCTGAAACCTTAAAAATGTCCTTGATTGATTTGATGCACAATAAAGGGGTGCTCGAGTTCTATTAAGGTGGGATGGAATGTGCTCTCATCTTCCCAAGTAGTCATTCAACTGATATCATCCATGCTATATATGCAGAAGTGGAAAACAGGGTTATGGACCTGGCTGGTGCAATCTCTCAAAGGATTAGGGCAGCAAAGAAGCATGAATAATGATTTAAATTGATGCCATATGTCTTTGAATTCAAGTGTGCTCTTTTGTTAAAGCAAACACATACGGTGAAGAATGAGCATGTGCGTGCATTGTCACTTATACAGAAGCGTGTGTGTCTGTGTTGAATGCACCTTCTCCAGGAGCTGGCGGAGCTGCCTGCCTTTGGCATCTCTGGAGCAGAGATTCTGTTCAGGAGCCACCACTGTGCAGATGCAACGCCCATCTGCATCCTGAGCCGAGCTGTACACCTGCCACCCTTCCTTTGGCCTGATGGTCTGCACAGAGAGACACATGCAGCCATAAATACACAGCACACATTTCTACAGACGTGCAGTTGATGTCATGACTCTGACATCGCAGCACACAGCTGTTATGTTTTGTAATTTTGTTTATTATAGGTCATCCATTCTTCTGCCTTCTGCCCCAAAGCTGCAACACCAACCAATTCCACTGACTTAGAAAAAGTCGCTGCTTTGAAAGAACAAAGTGCTTTTGCTGTAAGATATTCCTCTGCTCACTGTGTATGGTCTCCAGCGAATTTCCTCTTCAACAATAAATAGTGTTTCCTGGCCTTGATGAATAACCCGAGAGCTGAAATTCCTCCGTTTCTCCTTACTAGGCCTTCCAGTGCTCTAACTGAAAGTCCTGCTGAACGACACAGATAAACCTGATTTGTGGGAGCTCGTCCTGCTCTTTATTACAGTCAATATGTTCCACGGCGCTGGCATATAAGGCTCAAAGAACATAATGTTATGCATCATAAGCCGAAGCAGAAATTTAAAACTGTCAACTAAAGTTGGAGTGTGCACAGTAAAAAAAAAGTAGCTTTTACTCCAAACTTTGATCAAACTCTTCTGAAGTGCAGGAAAAGTTGATAGTTATCAGACACAAACAAGGGATCCATATTTGCTGTTTATTCTCTGCATGGGAAATTAACACAGGACTGGCAGCCAAATACTGGCAACCCTCGATTGTGAAAGGGAAATTTTTCTGCCTCTTTGGCCGACGGCCAATTGTTTTTGGATTTTGTTTTTACATTCAAAAACTACAGCTGGATGGAGAACAACATATGAAACATGTGAACTCCACCAGACTCTGAAGTGTATGGCTAAAAGGTGAAGTGCCCTGTTTTTAAAGTGCAGGCATCCATTCCTTTTCCCATCCATCCCTGCCTGTCATCCTAAGCAGTTTAAAGAGCATTTTGAATCATCCATGAAAGATCATGTCCCCTCTGAGCAGGCGAAAACGTCACACTAAGGAGAAAGCTCAGACTTTGACTCATCATTTTCACCTACAGAGAGGCCGCTTTTTGTCAGTTTGTAATCTGTTACTACCATGCAAAGTCATGCTGTTTAAGAAATAATCGATAAGGCGGTCTATTATCTCCCTTTGCAGTTTACATTCCATCACAATTTCTGTTTGTAAAATTTGCATCCTCACTCATCAGCAAAATCTTTCCCTTTAACATTTTTTAATAATGTTTCCCTTTAACATTTGCTACTGGTTATTTGTAAAGTTTGTGATTTAGGAATTAAACCCTGTGAATTGTGCCTGTGTTCTGATGCTACGTTGGCCCTGATATGATCTCATAACCCACAATATTTTCTTCTTCCTGTTATGGTCAGTGTGCATTTCATGAAAAAACAAAACCACAGTGAAAAGCATCAGTAGGAACATGAAACAAGCGCAATGGAATATCTTGAGTTCATGTGAGATACATTGCCACAGCCTGAAAATTATTAGAGATTCCAAATAGCATAGTTAACCATGACTGTCTCTCTCTCTGTATATCATAGCTGAATGGGATAAAAGAGTCAGAAAAAAAAGCACCCTCAGCTCTTCGTCTCCTTATTTTGCTTTGAAAGGCCCCTGAAAAGAAGCTAGTTTGACTAATCTGTTAAAATGGTCTTCCTCCTATCTCTTGAGTGATGCACATCCTTTCCACTCTTCTCACTCTCACATTTCCTCATATCAAAATGATTCTGTTGCTCAGCCAAGCCAGATGCACTCTCCAATTAGGCTTTTTTTTTTTTATGAGGAACTCTGCACAAAGAATTTTTTCTTTCATTAAATAATTCAGACAGCTGCTTCCACTTTTGTTTGGGGCATTTAGACTTTTCTTTTTCATTATTACTGATAAGAAGGTAATTTTGAGTATTTCCTGTGCAACAAAATTTCCTGTTTTTTTTAAAGCATCATTATTTCTGTACACCACTCTCAATCGTGGAAAGGTGTTATGTGAGGGCACTGCTTTGCAATCAAGACATTGGCAAGGGGACTGTACTCTGCATGGGTGGGATGAACCTAATCGACCATTGTTCTTGTCCAACTGGCTTGCTGGTCTGCAAGCTGCTCCTCCTAATTTGTTACAATACTCCCAAACCCGACTATGTCCTTAAATGACTGCATGACCATTTGACGAATACATTTAGATTAAGTGTGATTGTTACAGAAAAACGCCACCAGCAAAATATGAGTTTAGACACAGCACCATTTTTTTCAACAAAGACGGAACTCTCCCTTAAAAGTGAGTTATAAGCCTGGCAATATTCCAGGATCGATATCAATACTCTATTGTTGATGTAAGCAATAAACAAAGTGCTATGAGGGTGGTTCTACTTCTGCCACCACTTGGAATATCTTTTGTTTTTAAAAATAAAATTGTATTTTGTCCACACATTAGGTCTGTGTGTAAATGTAAATCCCCTGCCAGTGCTGGAGCGTGTATGGTATGTATGTGTATGCTAACAATAGCAAAGAACCAGCCAAACACGCAATTATGGCAGAAAACTGACAATTTCTTTATGTTATTGTGTTTTCAGTAAACACGTTAAATACACCTCTAATCACTTGAACTCAGCATTACATGACAGTACAAGATCATGCCCAAGTTTATTGTGCTGTTCCTGGTAGAAATACGAGAGGCAGTTGTGTTGGAAACTCACCACCGTAGGGCAGTATCCGAACAGCAGCAGAAACAGCAGCGGATTCAGGACCACGGACAGCGACCACATTCTGTCGGCTGCTACAACGTTTCCCTCCTCCACCTCCTCCGCGCCCACAAGAAGAAGAAGAAGAAAAAAATCACGCAAGTTTTTGTTTGAGTGCTCAGGCCACCACGTCCACTACGCTCTGGTAACAACCGCGGCTTCCCGTAGAAGAGGGGGGCACATCCATCCACTGCTCCCCGTTACGCACGCCATATGGACAGCGGGGAGAAACCTCGTCACTGCAAGGAGGAAAAAAGTTTGTGGGCACGCAAGCTGCGAAAAGCCGAGCTGCGGTTTGGTCAAAGGGATCCTTGTTCACGGATATGACATCATCCAAACGTCTCTCTTGACTTTTAATGAGCTCGTGTGTGAGAAGGAACCACCGGCAGCTGTGAGGTGACAAAAGTTGCAGCTGGCAGTATTTAACAGAAAATAAGAAGGCAGAGATCAGAGCTGCTGCTGCTGCTGCGTTTTTGTCACTGCAGAGAGAAGGCGCGCCAGACGGTACTATGAGAGCAGCAGAGAAACATACTGAAGGCTAGACCCTGTTTACTAAAAAAAATCACGGAGCAAACAAGATCTGAAAAAGCACTGATAGCTGCTTTAAGCGTCAGATCGATATAGAATAAAGCGATTGTTTTACTACCAAACTTGATCATCAATTTGAGGCCGGTGTATGGAAGCCCATTTACGCCCATTAACTAGCACTATATATATATATATATATATATATATATATATATATATATATATATATATGTATATGTATATTATATATATTCATTATAATTTCAATTTTCAATTTTATTTATATAGCGCCAAATCACAACAACAGTCTCAAGGCGCTTTATATTGTACAGTAGATCCTACAATAATAGATACAGAGAAAAACCCAACAATCATATGACCCCCTATGAGCAAGCACTTTGGCGACAGTGGGAAGGAAAAACTCCCTTTTAACAGGAAGAAACCTCCGGCAGAACCAGGCTCAGGGAGGGGCGGGGCCATCTGCTGGACCGGTTGGGGTGAGAGAAGGAAGACAGGATAAAGACATGCTGTGGAAGAGAGACAGAGGTTAATAACAGATATGATTCAATGCAGAGAGGTCTATTAACACATAGTGAGTGAGAAAGGTGACTGGAAAGGAAAAACTCAATGCATCATGGGAATCCCCCGGCAGCCTACGTCTATTGCAGCATAACTAAGGGAGGATTCAGGGTCACCTGGTCCAGCCCTAACTATATGCTTTAGCAAAAAGGAAAGTTTTAAGCCTAATCTTAAAAGTAGAGATAGTGTCTGTCTCCGAATCCAAACTGGAAGCTGGTTCCACAGAAGAGGGGCCTGAAAACTGAAGGCTCTGCCTCCCATTCTACTTTTAAATACTCTAGGAACAACAAGTAGGCCTGCAGAGCGAGAGCGAAGTGCTCTAATAGGGTGATATGGTACTATATAATAATAATAATAATAATAATAAATTTTATTTATGAGCCCTTTCAAGTCACCCAAGGACACTTTACAATAGGATAAAACACTTAGTAAAACAATGGCAGAATAAGAACAATAAAATAAAGCACAAGATAAAATGAACAAACAGTGGATTCACAGTGAATATGCAGATTTGAACAGATGAGTTTTGTTGGGATTTAAATAAGAACCAATATATACATATATATGTAAGTATGTGTGTGTGTGTGTGTGTGTGTGTGTGCGTGTGTGTATACTATTAACTTCAAATATGTAATGTTATGACACAGTACTATATTTTGACACAGTACTGTCATGACATCTCTCTCTCTCTCTTTGTCTCTCACATGCCTTCACATGACACACTGTTTTTCAATTAATCCATTAAATAATGCTTTGGGCATTCTTTATGCACACAAATAGAGTTCACAGGCATGACTACTTCACACAGTTGGGGTGTTTTTTCCTTTGGCTTCTGTGCTCAAGCTGATTCCCCTAAATTGAGAAGTGGAAGAGCGCATTGGCGTAAATAAGTCAAGTCAAGTCAAGTCAAGTCAAGTTTATTAAACTTTAAACCTTCAGACATTTGCTGTTTTGAAGTTAGACTTAAATAGGCTATGTTTATATTTTCTTTTATAGGCCTTCAGGCTGCTTTCATTTATCATTTATCATCTTGCCTGTTCTTTCTCCATATTTGCTAAACCATGTACTATGTTCTTCAGCATTTAAAGAAATTAGTCTGTGGCTGCTACACAACTATATGGGTTCATCAATTTCATGACAATCAGAGGACCAATGAGAGTACCAGCAACCTTTTCCTTGGCGTGCATGTGTTAAGCAGTTCCCCATTGCTTTGGTATATGTTTAAACTAATTAAATGACTTCATATGTTCAAAGTGCTATATGTTACAGTTGTGTTGCAACTGTAACAGCCTGACTATGTACGTTAGAGTGACAAATTCATGATCAACATACGATAAGAACACAGTAGCTTTAACTCACGAGCTTCTCCCTCATGCAGTATCTTTGCCTCATGCATTTCTTTCAACACTCCCACCACCATCGGGAGGCCCACCTTCAATTTGAAAACGTCTAGACAGATAATAGCAATTATTTTGCATCTAGTACTGAAAACATTTCCCTCAGATAATATTTGACTTGTGCCATATCTTCTGTGTTCTTTGAATGCCGCTCAAGACTTCCCCCAGAAGCCATTCACAGTCTGCAACAAGCGCATGTCCTTGACAGCAGGAGTCACCTTCAACCTTCTAAGAAGACTTCAAGTTTTGCATGCCAACTGGTGTTTCCTCCTTTTTAAGGAATATAGACAGTTTGAAAGAGACACAAGGTCTCAAATGCAAATTTATGCCAGTACCAAGTTATCTTATGCTAGAAGTGTTGAGACACACTTTTGGTTTCACAAAAGGATGCGGTGATTGGCTTTACAGTTTTTTTTTTCCTGGGTGCTCCAGTAAATACTGATGTAAGAGCGGCCACTATAAACTGCAGATGTGAGGAGTAGGGGAGTCTCCAGGCCCTTTTCAGATCACCAGTCAGCAGGAGGTTGGAATGAGTTGATGGGTTGGGCAATGAAGCACAGTATTGTTGGAGTGTTTCCTAGTCAAACTGTTTGAACAGGGAATACTCAAGTGTCTCTGACAGGAGAAATAGACAGAAGTTTCTTGGCACACTTGAACAAAGGGGTTTTGTAAGTCCTGACCTGCATTTCTGATGAGTTTCTCTCCAGCATTAACAGTGGCTGCTGCTTACTTTGTGGCTCAATTCAGTTCAAATTGCTTTTGACATTTGATGAGCCCAGGGTATCTTTTTCACTTCAAATAGACTTTCAGAATTGTCTCAGAGTATATACAGAAGTAGGAGGGGGAAATCCATAGACTACTGAAAATGCTAATGCTATTACCACAGCAGATTTATTTTCTTTAGGAATTCTGCCTTTCAAGAAAATATCAACAGAGAAAACAAGCAATTATCTTGCTATAAAAGAGACACCAGTCGATACAGGCTTTTCTAGTGTTCCTGCTCCAAAAAGCTGAAAATTACACAGAGTGAGCAACTTTAAGCAAGACAGCTTTATCTCCCTTTATTCAGTGAAGTCCACACTTGTTATTTTTTGTTTTTCCCTTTTCCTTCTAAACTTTTACACAGAGTATCTTTTTTAGTACAACTTAGTTTTTCTGCTAAAGCAGTTGGATCTTTGGTAAGGAGTTGCAGCAGGATGATATGTAGCTACTCTTGTCTGTCACTGATAGCTGTCTTCAGTGTTTATTTGTGATATTTATCAATTAAATACAGTACTTCACTAAATTGTCGTATTTATAAGATCATAATTTTATTGTCCCACATGTGAAAAATCATCAGTATCATTAAGTCATTTAATGGAGAGAAATCAACTCGTCCTGTAACTAACCTAATACTTAGACAGCTGTCTTCTAGCTAGAGTAGTTTCAGATGTATAGATGATCTTAGATGATTTCTTGAAATAGTATCAAACTCATTAATTAAAGTAAGTGATTTTAAGTGATTCTGGATTTAAACATTCAGTATTTTAGGAAATGAAAGTGTTGGGGAAAACGAAATCTATACACTAGAATAAACTAATTGTATTGAATTACTGAAGCACACTAAGGTTACCATCACTGCTGTATACTGTGTTAGTAAATATACCAGCAACAATAATAAGTGTGTTGATGTGGCTCAGAGTGTACTCTTTTGTTTTTTGCGTCTGTGTCTGTTGGAGCTGGGGTTAGGGTTTAAACCAGACAATTAAGGTGAATCAGAGATTCTGACTTGTCAATTGCCTCAAATGTGACTGCGTGTCTCACTGTGTTAGTCCTCAGACAGAGCAGAATTTTTCTTGTCCTCAGGCTTAATTCATGCTGTGATAAGGTCCAGCTGTTCATGACCCTGGAAAGGATTAAATGGGCTGAGAGGATGTACAAGAATAGTGGGTGGAAAATTTAACACTTCCTCAGAATAGACAACACATCCCTTTCCTTTATTCACTTCCATCATTCTCCCTCTTCAAATATGACCGTAGGGCCACAGCAGCTCTGGAGTTTGGACAGAACGTTTTCAGCATGTTGACCGTTACACTGTAGGTATCCTAACAGATTGGCTGTGACTAGCTGGCTTTGGCAGGGGGATTAAGTAGCCCACATACCCCAGCAACAGCCTACAGTTTTCTGACTGGACATTTGAAGTTCACAGGAAAATATGCTTAAAAATGGAAAATAGGTGACCCTATATTGTTTTTTAAAAAATGTGAAATGATTAGCTAAGTGAAATTGTCAGGAAAACAAACTTGGTGATGACTCATCACCATATGCGCTTCCACTTGCCATTCAGATTTGAGAAGTACACAGAAAGCTCTGTAAACAGATTTGATGATTCACACAGCAGAACGAAAACAGGCCTCTAAAAAGTGTTGTAGCTTTTCTGTATGGTTAAAAACAATACTTTGAAAACAATATTGTGGGACGGAAGTTTGTGTACTAAGAAAAGATAAGTGGATTTTAGATTCTTTATTCTCCACATGACTGATTAAAGAGTAAATTCTCAACCAGCTGATCAACTAAGTATTTTTTCCTAACCCTAACTCCTTTCACCTTTCTTGTTTTCATACTTTTGTCTCTGAGAATGAACTTGGAATGAAGCAGTCAAGACGTGACTGAAGTGCAGAAATTACTGCCACTTTTTACAAGGTCCCTTCATTTTCACACGCTCAAAGGTAATTGGAAAAGTGACTGATAAGTAGCTTCAGTTCCAGGTGTAGCTGGTTCCCTCATTATTTCATGAAAAATTACAGAGGCGAATGGTTCTGAGTTGATTTCAATTGTTGCATTTGGTAGCTGTTCATTAGACTTCTCAATATGAGGTTCAAAAAGGTGACAATGCGAGGGAAGAAGGCTGTGATTAGGCGGACCCCCTCCCCCCAATGATTTTACAGAGAGAAATTTTAGAAATAGCTACGTCAACAATACATGGTGGAGTTCATAGCATATTTTCTGTTCAAGCAAATGCTGC